CCTGTGACTTCACAGAATCACAGAATCACAGCATTTCTAGGTTGGAAGAGACCTCAAGATGATCGAGTCCAACCTCTGACCTAACACTAACAGTCCCCACTAAACCATATCCCTAAGCTCTACATCTAAACGTCTTTTAAAGACTTCCAGGGATGGTGACTCCACCACTTCCCTGGGCAGCCTGTTCCAATGTCTAACAACCCTTTCAGTAAAGAAGTTCTTCCTAAGATCCAACCTAAAACTCCCCTGGTGCAACTTAAGCCCATTCCCCCTTGTCCTGTCACCAGGCACGTGGGAGAACAGACCAAACCCCACCTCGCTACAGCCTCCTTTGAGGTACCTGTAGAGAGCGATAAGGTCACCCCTGAGCCTCCTTTTCTCCAGGCTGAATAATCCCAGCTCCCTCAGCCGCTCCTCGTAGGACTTGTTCTCCAGGCCCCTCACCAGATTCATCGCCCTTCTCTGGACCCGCAAAAGCACCTCGATGTCCTTCTTGTAGCGAGGGGCCCAAAACTGAACACAGTACTCGAGGTGTGGCCTCACCAGAGCCGAGTACAGGGGGACGATCACCTCCCTAGCCCTGCTGGTCACACTGTTTCTGATACACGCCAGGATGCTGTTGGCCTTCTTGGCCACCTGAGTACACTGCTGGCTCATATTCAGCCGACTATCAACCATCACTCCCAGGTCCTTCTCTGCCAGGCAGCTCTCCAACCACTCATCTCCCAGCCTGTAGCTCTGCTTGGGGTTATTGCACCCCAGGTGCAGGACCTGGCACTTGGCCTTGTTGAACTTCATGCAGTTGACCTCAGCCCATCGGTGCAGCCTATCCAGATCCTCCTGCAGAGCCTTCCTACCCTCAAGCAGATCGACACACGCACCTAACTTGGTGTCATCTGCAAACTTACTGAGGGTGCACTCAATGCCCTCGTCCAGATAATTGGTTGATGAAGATATTAAAGAGGACCGGCCCCAGCACCGAGCCCTGGGGAACGCCACTAGTGACTGGCCTCCAACTGGACTTGACTCCATTCATCACGACTCTTTGGGCCCAGCTATCCAGCCAGTTTCTAACCCAACAAAGCGTGTGCCAGTCCAAGCCAACAGCAGCCAGTTTCTTGAGGAGAATGCTGTGGGAAACGGTGTCAAAAGCCTTGCTGAAGTCAAGGTAGACCACATCCACAGCCTTTCCCTCATCCACCCAGCGCGTCACTTTGTCATAGAAGGAGATCAGGTTCATCAAGCAGGACCTGCCTTTCATAAACCCATGCTGACTGGGCCTGATCGCCTGCTTGCCCTGCAAGTGCCACGTGATGACTCCCAAGAGGATCTGCTCCATGAGCTTCCCTGGCACTGAGGTCAAACTGACAGGCCTGTAGTTTCCCAGGTCAGTCCTCTGGCCCTTCTTATAGACGGGCATCACGTTTGCTAGCCACCAGTCAACTGGGACCTCCCCCGATAGCCAGGACTGTTGATAAATGATGGTAAGTGGCTTGGCCAGCTCCTCTGCCAGTTCTCTCAGTACCCTTGGGTGGATCCCATCCGGCCCCATCGACTTGTGCACATCCAAGTGCCGTACCAGGTCACCAACCATTTCTTCGTGGATAGTGAGGGCCACATCCTGCTCCCCATCCCCTTCCACCAGCTCAGGGTACTGGGTGTCCAGAGAACAACCAGTATTGCCACTAAAGACTGAGGTGAAGAAGGCATTAAGCACCTCCACCTTTTCCTCGTCTCTTGTAACTAAGTTTCCCCCCGCATCCAGTAAAGGATGGAGATTCTCCTTAGTCCTCCTTTTTGTGTTGATGTATTTATAAAAACATTTTTTGTTATCTTTAACGGCAGTAGCCAGATTGAGCTCCAGATGAGCTTTGGCCTTTCTAATTTTGACTTGCTTCAGTGTGAAGTGGATACTTTATCTCACAACATCCAGAGGCAGGTTGTGAAAGTAGGGGTGAAGTTCCTGTTAACTCTCACCTAAAAGTTCCACGGATCCTTTATTCCAAGATTATTTAAAACATTTTTTTCCCACCTGATGTTTCCCCTCTTCTAAAAAAATGGCTTGGCTTCCAGCAAAACATTTCCCTGACACTTCCAGGTCTTTGTTGTGGAAAGTACAGGCAGGAGGAAGGTTTCACAACAGTCCCTCTGAAACCCGAATCCTTGCAGACCATCTTTTTTGCGTTTCTGGTAACAACAGTTTAAGCTCTGGGAGAAACTGTGACCTTTGCTCAGTAAAGTTGATTTTCTCCTCTGTTTGAGTGCTATGCTAATTGGATTTCTGCTACAACTGAGTTTTAGCTGCTTGCTTTCCTTTCCTCGCCAATCCTTCACCCACCTTTACCGCAGAGATAGAGCCAGTGGTAACCAAAAGGAGTGGAGAACAGAGAAAAACCTGCCACAGAAGCATTTTCCTCTTCCTTAGAAGTCAGGGCTCTAACAGCACATACTTGAAATGGTTTCTAGTCACTGACACCTAGAGCCAGGACATGTACGGTCAGGAAGAGCTTTATTTTCTCATCTGTGGACAGGCCTTTTGTACCAAGCATCATATAGCTACCACCCTCCTCCCCAGTTTAAATACGATTTAGTATGCAGAATGAGTTTTGGAAGGAAAATGACCATTGGTGGGATCAGGGAGGGGAGAGGATTCTGGTACATATTTCAAACAGGTGGGACTGTGGTTTCTGGGTTAGTGGCTAACTCTCTACCTCTCCTCAGTGCTTTACCAGGTCTACAAGTGTGATGTGAGGTGTGCATCCACGTCCTTTGGGAAACCTCACTAGTTGCATGAGGTGGGCATCTATGTCCTTTGAGAAACCTCACTAGTTGCAGATGGGGAGAAATGAGGAAAGTTGGTTCACCAGAAATTATGCTTCTACCCAAGAACCCCAATAGCAGAAGTATCTGTGAAAGGAATTACTTTGTAGGCTGGGTAGTCACAAAGGAGAATAAGGTCATTTCCAAGAAGTCCCAATTAGTTAGCTCTTAGTTGCATGTTATGCAAGGAAAGGGAAGAGTCCCCTTCCCCCTCCTCTTGTGTAACAAGGGGCGGAAGAGGACTGGATGGCCCATAAGGGGAGAGAAAGGTGCAAGAGAGGCAGTCAGCGAAGGGACAAGTTATGCAACTTTCACTTAATTGAGAATTGTGTTTCAAATCTGCAGAAAACAGCACATTGCTCTCCTTGTTCCCTGGACAGAAAGGCACAGTTTTACAATCTCCTTTTATTGTTTTGCTGATAAGCAGGCATTTCACTTGTCTGACACTATACAAAATGTCCTTTAGTAAATTCAGTCAGTGCCGTGGCCTTTTCCAGCTGGAACGTTAAACCAGATCCTGGCTGGCCAGCTAAGTTTTTACCCCATAACAGATTGTTGTAGCTGTGGCTGGCCAAGGTACCTGAGCTAGAAAGGGAAAAAGTCAGCTTCAATTCCTGTTTCTACCCTTGCCCAAATGTGCAGTGCAATTATAGTGCAAGCTTTGAGACCTTTGGGACAAGCTGGGTTGGCATGCACAAAAACAACTTGAGTACATGACTTTGTATTATTGTCCATGACTTTGTATTTCCATTCTGCAAACTGACTGCTAGCCAAAGTTTAGGCCTGCTCTGCTTATTTTGTAAGAACCCTCTACGACCTATACAGACTCCTACTGTAAACAGCTATAAAGTTAGCAAATCTTCCTTCTTTGGCAAAACTCCCAAAGAGTACTTCTGTCTGGTACCTCTCTGTGTCCAAGGAAGGGTCAGGGGTTACCTCTTCCAGGGGAAACCTGGTATGGTAATCTCCATTGCCTGAAATGACCCATCTGGGTCACTGGCAATTGAACACAAATTTGTTTTTGCATTACTCTGACAAGCAACAGGATTGTTTGATTCCTGTTCAGCTCAAGACCTGAAAGTAAAGCTATCAGAAATTGCTGAATCAGAGGACACGGATCTCTGACAACAACAATATTTGTGAATCTTAAAAAAATAATATATGTAATATATGTATATATATATATATATATATAAAAAGCTGAAGTTGTTTTTGTTTTCTAAAAAAAATAAATAAAATAAAAAAGAACAGCACCTTCTGAGGTCCCTATGATTACCATGTTTCTTCGTTAGTCAACGGAAACATGCCATTTTTGCCACTTAACAAAATACTTTCTAACAAGACATTATCACAAAGATGAAAATACCTTGCATTGGTATGAATAATTTTGGCTTTATGTGAACATATTAGAGAAAGAAACCCCAGAAAAAAAAAATATTTTAAGTGCTGGCATGTTCTTAAGTGATAGACCTTCTGTATTTTATACAGAAATGACAGCTATCTTTCAACCCACACAAATGCATTTATTTTTCTTTTTTTTAAGCATAAAGCAACCAAAAAACTTCCACCTGATTACTATCTGAACTTTTGGATATCAATAGAGTTTATTATTTCAGTGGGCTATTAGTTTTTATTTGTGTCTAGGTGACCTCTGCTGGTAGATTCTTATTATTACTGTAATCTTATCATTGTTATCATAACTGTAATAATACTGTAATAATAATTATTATTAGGAAAAAAATCTTCACTAAAAGGGTTGTGAAGTATTGGAACAGGCTGCCCAGGGAAGTGGTTGTAGAGTCACCACCACTGGAGGTCTTCAAAAAACATGTAGAGCTTAGTGACATGGTTTAATGGCAGTGCTAGGTTGGACTAGATGACCTTAGAGCTCTTTTCCAATCTGAATGATTCTATGATTCTAATTCATATGTAAGGGTATAGATGCATTGATATTCTGGTAAGTACTGCCCTACATTCACAAGAAAACATACAATCCTTGCTCTGAAAAATAGACTCCCATTCTGTAAAGGTGTAAAACAAACAAACAAACAAACAAACAAAACAAACAAACAAAAAAAAACCAGCCTCAACCACAAAACAAACAAATAAGAACAAAACCAAAACAAAACAGAAGGCAGTTTTTAGATAAAAATTTACAAATATCTAAGAACATCTCAGGATAGGGTCACTGGCGTTTATTCAACATAATTGCCTAAATGCCAGCTATTGCTCGGAAAGCCCCTGAATTTCATCCTGCTAAAAGCAAGGAGGTTATACCAAGGAAAGGGTTAGTCTCCATTTGCATTCTTTCCTTGTACGCTTTCTCATCCCAACTGCTAACAGCTACTGTATACCAGCTAAATGGACTTTTATTCTGACTCAGCATGGCTGCTGACAGTCTGTCCCATATGCTACAGCAGAACAGGATAATATGATACTTAATAAAAATGGCCATTCACCTCAGGTATCACAATGCAACTCGCAGCTAACAGCCTTGGTCTTTGTGAGACCCAAGGTCATTTCTATTATTACAGCACAGTGCAAGGAAATGCCACAAATACCGAGAGGGCCTTATCTATTTATCATAGGTGAAGTTGGCACGCTTTGCAGTACTATGGCTTCATGTCGGAGCACAGGCTTTGAGTTCATACAAGTTTATAACGCGGGGCTGGCTCTGGCAGCCCAGACAGAGCTCAGCGTGTGGTGCACGTGTGTATTTATGATGACATTGCTGCGACCGTTCCTCAAGCACTCAGCTGCCACACCGACAGCAACAGTGCCTCAGGACAAGGCATCAGGTGCAGATGCGCTGGAAAAAACTTGTCTTGCCCATGTCCTGCTCATGGCGGGAGCCAGGGGCACAGGCCTGGCATAGGGCTCGCCTCTTCCTTGCCCCGCATCCTTCGTGTAATGTGCCCGGTCCCCTACACGGGCTTCGCTTTGCCTGTCACGACAGAAACGAGAAGTTAGCCAACAGTCTGTGTCACGGCTGCAGCCAATCCGACCCCGCACACCCCAATGGAGCCTGAAGGGGCCGGGGTCGGGCCAAGCCCCGAGATCCGCCGCGACACCTCCGCCGTGCCGCGGCCGACCAGTACAGCCCAGTATGGCCCAATACAGCCCAGTACTGCCCTGCCCGGCCCAGCCCAGCCCAGCCCAGCCCAGCCCGGCGCCCCCCGCCCCGCCACGCCACGCCGCCCCCCCCCCCCCCCCCCCTCGGGCTCCCGCTCTGAAGTTTGCAGTCGATTTCCTCCCCGGGCCGGCCTTATCTCGGGCCGCACGTTGGCGCGCGGTGACTAATAGCGGCACAACATTGTCTCGGGATAAAATAGAGCCGGAGCTGTTTACCCGCTCCATGGGGGTTCGCTATAAAAGGGCGCCGGGGGCTGCCGCGCCAGCCAGACGCGCCGGGCCGCCCCAAGCTGCCGCCTGCCCTCGCTGCCAGCAGGAGCCAGCGCCCTCCGTCCTGCGGCGGCCACAGCCTTCTCCCTCCGTCTCCTTCCCTCTTCTTTAACTTTGTTTCTTATAAAAGAAAAAAAAAAAAGGTTTAGCTTGAGTTTTGCTCCCGCTATGGATTACTCGCACGTCGTCCTCCCGCTGCTCTTCGTGCTATGCCCGGGGCTGCTGCCGGCAGGTAGGTGCAGCCTCGGGGCGCAGCGGGTGGGAGAGGGTCGGGGGGTTGGGCACTACACCGGGCTGAACCGAGCCGGGCTGGGCTGAACCGAGCCGCGCTGAGCCTCTGCCTCTCCTTCCTTAGCCCCCGGAGCCGAGGTGGGCTCCGCTCCACCGCCCCCCGCCGCCCTGCACCGCCGCGCACGGCGCTGCTCCTGCTCATCGCTGCTGGACGAGGAGTGCGTCTACTTCTGCCACTTGGACATCATCTGGATCAACACCCCTGAGTGAGTGGGCCGCCGGGGGTCTGCTGAAGGTGGGGGGGGGGGGAGATAAAGTGGATGGGGGTGTTCATGGGGGGGGTGCTGAGGAACCTCAAGATCCCCTGCAGAAAGAAGGGGGAGAAAGGAGTGTTTCTGTGCATGGGGTCTCCTACTGTTTCCCCCCTACACCCTGTTTTTCTGCTGCATTTAGTAGCAAGGCTGTTCACTTGGAGAACGTATTTGAGCACCTAGAGCAAGGGGAGAGCGCCTCATAGCCCTAATGCACCTGCGCTCCCAAAATCTAGGCAAGTGTTTCCTTTGGGTGTTGCCCTGCAAGGGCTGCAGGTTGCTTTTCACCATGAATTAGAAACAGAATGCCAAAAGCATGTTTGTATCACTCTGATTTTACATGGCCATTTTTCTGAGATGTTACGAGGCTGAAAGGTTTCCTTTGACACAGGGTGTCTTCTCACCAGCTCTTGCTACACTCTGCTGCAGACTAATGCATCTCGCATGTTAATAGCAATAGGTGCAGAGTCCGTTTCTGCAGACTCCTTTCCAAAAGGTAGCGAGCTAGAGCCTCACCTAACACTGCAAACACTGACTTTGGCGATCTGTTCTACTGCTGGAATTCCTCTGAGGATATGTGCCTCTCTTTTATTGCTTCTCTCAGTATTGGCAGTTACCAAAGTTCAAAGAGATGAGACTCTATTGGTTTCTATTGCACAGAGCAGCGTAGCAGCTTTATGAAATCACAATTAAAAGGTCATTAGCCTTGCCAGTAGCCATGTTAATCACTATGTTGCAGGATCGTCAGAAGCATTTACATGGAAATTTATGACCAGCAAGGCATTCCCAAACCCACAACCTTTACTCACACAATCAATCCCATCAATAAGATTGCCCAAAATACCCTGCTGTTCTGAAGCCACAAAATTATTTGAATAACTTTCATGTTGTCTGTTTGATCATAGGAAGACCGTTCCTTATGGTCTTGGAGGCCCTTCTCGATCCAGAAGATCTCTGAAGGACATGGTGCCTGAGATGCTCACTGAAGCCAGCAGCAGATGCCGATGTGCCAACCAGAAAGACAAGAAATGTCTGAACTTCTGCCAGACAGGAAAAGATCTCTGGTGCGTTTATTGTTGCTACTCTTTAAAAGGCAGCACATGTGAAAAGGCTGGATTGTGGTAGACTTACTCATTTTGGCACTTGCTGAGTGAATAATCTTCCCAAAGCCTTGCCTCCTACCTGGGTGCTCATGCTGCTATGATACATACTAGGGTTTGGCCCAGATAGATGGCTTATTACATGCCTTAAGAAGTGGTTGATGAGATGCCTCCCCTTGTGGACTGCAGACTTGCTTTTTTTAACAGCTGCATCTTTTGACTTCTAATAGGGCTCAGTCCACAGTGGAGATGACCTTGCATCATCACAACAAAGGTGGCAATTGCATTGGACCCAAATGCATGAACCAACAGTTTGTTGACAGCAGGAAGATTAAGAGGTGAGTTTCCTCTCATCCAGCTGTAGTTCCCTTGAATAGCAATAGAGAGCACCATTCACCTCCCTTTGGGTCAACGCAGGCTTGGCTGTTGATTTCAACTTGAGAGTTCTGAGGGAATCAGTGAGGATATTTTCAGGGCTTTTGTTCATGCTGTGGAACCTTAGCTTGTGAAGACAAGGGTACTGAGCTCTGCCTAGCCTCATCCATTTGCTTGTGGGGAGCAGATTTGGTTGTAGGTTTAAAGATACCCCAGTTTTCAGAAGAGTATAAAATTGTATTCTGGCAGAAATAGCAGAACCTGATACATGAGTGCGTACAGCCATTATCACAATTACTTAAAAATAGTACATCACAACTATTCTAAAACTAAGTTGAGTCTGAATACTTTTTATTAGATTATTTGCCTCATCTCACTGGGGGAAAATCCAGATTTGAATATATGGTTTCTTCTCACTGGTGTGGCTGCTTATCCCTTATGTTGTCTGATTAAAACTGTGTATGATGAATACAGGATGCTAGCAATAGAAATGACTGTAGAGAGGCTGAGAAAACGGAAAATAAATATTAAATGAATATTCAAGCCCAATTTGACTTCTGAAACTGAGAGTAAATTCCAGGACTGCACTTTGAAATCCATGCAGAAAAAGTTGAGTGGCAATAGAGAGCAGTATCCCTTTCCAGTGCAGTTCAAAGAGGCATACCTTGGAATTGCTGCACCCATGAACCCCACAAGATGCCAGAAATCAGCTTTGGAACCGAGCATCAGTACAGCTACATCACCTCTGGTGTTCAGTCTTCATATATATGCCCATGTGAAAGTGCAGCATACAAAAGTTCACCCATGCAAACGTAGGCTCTCAAGTGCTGCTTTCAAAAGCAAAACAGGGTGTGTGGGATCAGGTAGCCTGGTGATTTTGAGTGAGACTTTGGCCCTGGAGTTGTTAAATCATTTCTGAAGATGAAACTTACTTCTTAATTCTGGTATGGGCCCCATTATGGGTCCAGATCTATTTTACCTGAAAGAAAAGAAACAGTCAAAAAGAGTAATGCTGAAGACCTCTTGGTTGGATATATGCTATTTAAGAAAGTCAAGGCCATGTAAAGTTGAATAAATATTTCAACATATTTTAATGTTTGGATTGAAATTCTAATTCACATATTTTGAGTGGCTTAGGTTAGCATAATTCTGGTGGTTGTATAGCAGTCACTGGTTTCTGAGGATCCTATGGTAGAAATTGATGCTAGAGTTTAGTTAATCAAACCGCTGAGTGTCTGCACACTGGACATGCATCTTTATTATTCATGTAATAATAAGGGTATATTTCTTATTTTTTTGCAGGCTGGAGGCCATTGGTAACAGTATCAAAGCTTCCTTCAGTATTGCAAAGCTGAAGGCTGAGCACCAGAAAGGGTGGAAGCTTAAACATAACAGGGCAAACAAAAGGCAAAGCATCTGGGAAAGCCTGAAAACATCCTAGTGGGAAGATCACCCCAATCTTTCTCCATCACATTTGCTGCCGAAGCATCATCAAAACTCTCCTTTGACTTTTAACATTCCGCTACGGCAAAGGGCCTCTGTCCAAGTGTTTGTGCAGCAAAGCAAAACACTGAGGAAATCCCATATATGGAGGTATAAAAGCAAAGGATTTCATCCTTCTGGAATTCAGACAGATAGTAGAGGGGGAGAAAGGAAATCCACATGTAACATGTTAAAAGCTATCTCTATGAAGAAATAGTTGAATATTACTTCTGGAATGTTACTCATCAATTGAGCAGCTTTCAGGGTCTACAGCAAATGCATTTTGCAAGGAAGACCTCGCAGATGTGCTTAAAAAGGACAGAAAGCAAGATCTGAGCAGACAAACTTCAAAGCAAAAACTCTATTTCTTGACTAAAATGCAAAAATTAAAGCCACAGTGCTACTTTAACCAGGACTTACTGCATATATACATGTCTACCTCGCATGCTGTTTGTTGCACTCCTGCTAGAGCATTTTCACACCTTTTTATTGCCTTTAGTAATCAGTAGCAACCCTTTGCCTTTTTTTTCAGAAGTCTAGTTTACTTGTACAACTGGAGTTAACTGAATGTGGGTTCGATGCTGTGCTTGTTTGCATAGGTAGAGTTCATTGGTTTTGGATACCAAAGGACTGTTCAACAGAAAATAAGCATTAGAGAACACTACTAGATTTCCCATAACAATGATATCTTGATAACAAGTTCTAATAATAGAGGTTGTTACGTCTTACACGCCACCAAAACAGCACTGGAGCAGAGCTGTAACAGATACTGTTGTTGGGTTCATTCAGTGCTTTGTTTGGTATAAATGTGTAGAGACAAAGGGTTGTCTTAAATTATGTGAAAAGGCTAATATTGTGTGAATGTTATATCAGTGAATTTGTTCGCATTGATGAATTTGCTGACAGGTTTGATTGAATTTTATGTGCTTAATTTTTAGGTGGTATGTATTTATATTCACACAAGTTCTTCATTATATTTACCATGTTGAATACACATTGAAGTAGGCCATATTGGTCTATGCATGTTTTATGTATTTCTGTATGAAATTGGGAAATGCTTTATGCCTATCAAGGTAAATATTTTCAGAAATAAATATTTTTAATTACTGTATTGGCTTGTTTTCCATGTGCTCTGCTTTTTTCCTAGGCCCATGGTGATGGAGGCAGACTGCCCCACATACAAAGCTGACCTAAATGAGGTGTATGCCCATGATTACTTTTCTGACAAATTAGCAAGATTCCAGCACCGACAGTTTAGACCAGGGCTGTGCCAGATGTGAAACAACAGGCATTACTTGTTCTAGCTTAATGCTTCCACATTGAAATTTATTGACAAAATTAGAATTGGCCAAATGAGATTAGACTAGAGAAACACTCTGTCACATGGCTAATGTTATTTTTCATCCAATATTATAAATTCCAGTGTTGGATATATTGTATAATTAAAATATGGCCAATAAGGGTTGGATATTCACAGAATTTCTAGGTTGGAAGAGACCTCAAGATCATCGAGTCCAATTGATGAACTAGAGGAGAAAGATGAGCACACTGGATACTTTGTGGGCTATATTGGGTTCAGCGTGGTTATGCTAGTTATTACCATGCTATCCCAGAAGTCTCGTCTCTTAAAGATGGAGACCTCAATGCGACCTGGCCCCAACCCAGGAAAGAGCCAAAGCAGTAGTAAAACATTGCATATCTCCAAATGTTTTGGGCTATATGGGAAAACAAAACAAAAGAGTTAGTTCATACTTGCTGGATAAAAATGAGGGTTTTGTGCATGTGTGAGGGGGGGTTGTTTTGTTTTTAAACATTTACAAGCAGATAAAAGGTGTGAGACACAAAAGCTGATTATAGTGGCAGTTAAAAATTGCTGAAATAGTTCTGTATTTCTTGTTGATGTTCACTTGCTTGTAGAGTGCTTCCTACTGCAACACCAGAAGGCTAAACGCAGCCATTATACTGTTTCCTCCAATACACTCTGCTGCATTTTGGGCAGCAATTGAATTGAGAGGTGGTAGTGTTGGCAGCCCAGCTCTGTATTAACTGTGTCTTGCCCTGGTTTGCATTAATAAACTGGACTAAAAACCAGAATTTAATAGTCTGTGTGCTGGGATTTATGGCACGGAATATGGAGCAGTGTAAAAGTACATTATGATTCATAATAAACTGCACAAAAATATGTTCTACCTGAAGCCAATGGAAACGTGCTGATTGTGAAGGCAAGGCTGCAAAATCGGGGCTCTCATTATTTTAGCTAGAACTATTCTCAATTTTTCTCTCACAAAATAAACCTTTCATGGACACTGTCTATTTTCAGGTAAGTGATAGATTTCTCTAATTCAGGATGATATCTGAGAAGGACAAATGGCAACATATAGAGAAGAGGGCTTTCTACAGCGGCAATACCATAACAGTCCCAAAATACATATGAAATTATAGCTCAGATCAAGAGCAAGGAATGGCCCAGTTCCCAAACTGTTACCAAGTTGTACCTCCATCTTCTCATTTTTCCTGGGTTCAGCATGATCATTTCTGAAATTGTAAAAAGCTTCACAGCAAAAGACTATTTCTCTCCTTCCAAATATAAGCTTGCTGTACTTATTTTCATTCAGTGCAATGTGTAATCTTACTTGCTCAGCCAGTTCATTTTCATTTTCTCTGGATAAAGGTTGTTTTGACCGCATACCAAAACAGGGTATACAATAAAACAAAGCTTCGACATGTGAGTCAGGCTTGAAGTCAGGAAAATAATACAATGCCACTGAAATTCTTTCCATCTTATCTACATAATTCTGACCTAATTTTTCCAGAAATGGCAACTCTAATCTGTACCATGTTATCATGAACTGCCCCAAAATAATTCACACAGGAAGTCCTAATGTTGCCTATAGAAGTTACCAAATACCAGCTTCTTTGTTCATTTCCTTACATTAGGATAAATTTAGCCACTACAACACGTTACAGTATTCAGACAGTGGTTTGTGCAGCTCAGTCCATCTGATGTTTACTTGCTTCACACTTAACTGTTTGCCTCTGTGTATAAAAAATATATCAATTTCAACTTCATCTGCATTGTGGTGTTATTATTAGGTTCCTTGGGTAGAAATCCAGCTTTCATTCTCGACTGATAACTTTATTTAATTTACTGTTCTTCCTTTGTGACCTAGGAAACAAAAGGACAGAGTTTTTGATTAATTAGATGAGAATGCTTGGAAGCTGCGATGGTGAGTGTAAGTATGTGAAAAGACAGAATGCCTCAGATAAAGTACAAAGATACTGGCTGGATCATTTTTCCTGAAGTCAACATCATGCAAATGAGGTTTTGGAAGCCTATCTAGAATTGGTATTCGTGTTTTATTTTAGTTTACATCTCTGATCAAATCTGAACTAGGTGAAAAATGATAGGGGAGCCTATTTTTCTATTTCTCAATATGGTTAAACTATCAGCTGTTATGTCTTCATAGCATGCCTGGGACAAGCTCCTATACTCTGATCAGGTCAAGAAGACCTGATTCTATCTGAAGTCCTCCAGGTCAGTCGGTCAGCCAACAGTTCTCTCAGTTTGGAGGCATCATTTATTCCAGTGAAAATGAGAGCAGAATTTGACCCAGAAGGGCTTTCTTCTTTCTGATATCACCATGATGGGGCCAAATGGACACTGATTTGCTGATGCTAGCACAGCACTCCAATGGTTCTTGTAGCTGTTGTTCTGCCCTATTTTTTATTTTTTATTTTTTCCACAAGCATTTGCTAGCGACAAATTTGATAAATATCACTTTGGGGCAGTATGTAATTGGCTCAAGAAAGCTGCATATGTGAACGGAAGAGCCCCGTGGAGACTGGTTTTGTGAACTTCTCCAGCTGTTTTGGGGGCTGCAGAACTGATCTGAGTTCACCAGCTGTAATTCAAGCTCACATTGTTGTTGTTTTTCCCCCCAAGGAAATAAAAATAACACTAATAATCAAAAACAAACAAACAAACCAAAAAAACACAACCAATGTACAACTAACTTCTTTCTAGCTGAAGAAAAAATGTAATGTTATATGCCTGCCATTAGAAACAAATCCAGGCTCTACTCTGGCAAGAAGAAAGCAGCACTGTATTTTGGCCATGTACACTGGATTTACATTTTCCACTGCTTTCTCCATCTGTTTTCAGGGATGTGGGCTGCATGGGGCAAACTGAACAATGAACAATACCAGTGCATGCAAACTTTTCCGTGAATGGGACAGCAGGTAGCTGCAAATCACATCAGCAGCCTTGCTTGGTACCCTGGAAATGTAAACCACCCCTTCCAGGTAGCCATGAATTCACCCTGTGTAATGCCATTTGCACTGCTTTGCTATGGCGGCTTCACATTAGATATGCATGGTCTCAGAATGGTCCCACTGGCTTTGTCAGTATCTTATGGCAGATATTTCTGAGAAAGCATCTCAGCTGGGATGGTTTTTCTCTGGCTGCAGTTTCCCTACAGATGAACTGAGCTTGGAGGAACTCCACTGACTTCACCAGCCCAGTGGTTTTCTGGGTTAAAAGTCATGAAGATACAGATCTTCATATAGATACAGATAAAATACAGATACTTCTTCAGAGGCTCCTTTGTCCATGTTTATTCCACGTTTTCACAAGAAGAACCTTTTTGTCCTTTTTCCAAAAAAAAAAATTATACTTCTGTGTCCTTCTAAAATCTTATGGCATTTGTTGAGGATTTGGCCTGCTGTTTTTCCTCCCAAGTGTCTGCTAACCATTATGTCATTCTCGGTACACATCCAGCAGGACACTTTGCAGCTATGCTTTTTCCAGCAGTTTCCAAACAATGTGCGCTAAAGCTAGTAATGTAATTGTACTTGACCCCAAGTCTGCTTCATCATAAGCATATATTTTACCTGGCTGAAAAATGAGGTGCCTGCAAATGCTCTCCTTTGCCCTGAATTGGCAATGGATTATGGATTGCAGGTTCCAGTGTTGAGGCAAGTCACAAAGTTGGCTGGATATCACCATACAGTAAAAATTTATTCTTTGAACTAACCACTTTCCGCTGAGTAATTATTTTGCTCTACAAATATTTCTAAAAATGTCTATACAAGCACAGGGGTCAACTTTCTAAGCAAACTACAACCCTTCCTTCTCCACCCCTTTATTTTTCTTCTCTCAAGCATTTCTGTGTTATTCTTGTGACCAAACACAGCTTTTGTGAGCTTTTTGTGAACTGCTACTGGATGAAGCTCTGATCATGGTTGTTTGTTCAGCCTGTGATCCATGAACATCTGAAGAGCCATGAAATGTGATTAAGAGATGCAAATTCATACATGCTTTATGGCAACCTGCATATGTGAAATTCCTGGAACAGTTTGTACCTCCACTGGGAATTTTTTAGGGGTCCATATTAAATAAAAAGTAAACCTCTGTGTCATACATGGAAAGCAGGTTTGAAAAAAGGTTGCAAAACCAAGCTGTGAGCATAGGCAAGTATAGAATTGAATCCAGACACATCGCAAATAAGAAAGATATAATTCTGATAAAAATAAAATAAAATAAAAAAGATTGCATAACTGTATTATCAGGTATTGCAAAGTGTGTTTGTGACAGGATGGGTAACTATATCAGGAAAAACTTGAAGTGCTTACTGGTAATATGTATGTACCTGTAATCATAGATGTGAGCACATAGTGAAAGTCTTTCTCATGTTGTACAACACAGTTTGGATCTGCTTCCTGTTGTCAGAAAACTCCAGGCTCAGGGGCTCTCTCCCTTGATCTTTGTCTTTTCTTGTCCCATTTTAATCTAGCAGATTCTGATCAGTACAACCAAATTCTCTGGGTGCCCTCACAAAGGAAGCTTTAGCTGTTGCTCACAGCACCCTGCCCAGGCACTGCTGAGCAGAGTGGTTGCTTTTACATAGACTTCTGGTCTGTTCAAATAAACTCTTTTTTTCTTTTTTTTTCTTTTTTTTTTTTTTTCCCCTCTTTTTTTAATTATTATTAATTTTTTTTTTCATTATGAGGTCTACAAGGAGAGAATATGTTTGCCCTCAGTTTCCCTCTCTGGACAGCACAGTTGCAGAGCTCTGAATGGTTTATAGGCTAATTAAAAACAGCCCAGAGGTTTGTGTTTTTCTATGTGTTTTGTTTTGTTTTGCTTTTGTCTTTTTGCTGCATTTCAGTTTGTTTAGTTGCTCTGTGGGGATTTGATAGGGGCTCTGTTAAGGAGATAGAAAAGCTATGGCCTGGGTGACTTTAGCATGCTAAGAAACACCTCATTTTCACCTGAAAGCCTCACAAAATTAGATAAGGTATCAGAAAGACTGGCAAAACCTCTGAGGACATGAAATATGCTGCAAATGACTGACCTGTACATCCTATCTGGGTTTAGCTACAGTAGCTTTGGAGGGGAGCTGATGCAGAACTGCCCTTTTCTCTCCACCTGACAAGCTCAAACAGATGATAAATTACCAGAACTAATTATTGCCCTAACAGGTCTTTGATCCCTGCAAGAGTCAATTTATAAATGATGAGCTCCTTTTACATACCACAGCTGATGGAGCTGTTGAGAAAGTTATAAAATCACTAATCCTTGCAGTCTGGTGATCCTTTAGTTTTCTACCATTTATTCAGGAGACAGCTCAAAGTGTCTGCAAGCACCCATTTCTATTTCTTGCCCGTGCCCTGTACAGAAGAAGTCAGGCATTTCCACAGGAGGGAGGCTTGGTACAAGGAGAGAGGTAGCATCTGAAAAGCCGGTAAGTCCAGGTGGATAGGGCAATCTCTAGACCATACCACTTGTGATAGTCTCTCCAGAAAGAGGATGTTCTTACAACAGAAAGGCAAGGTGGGTTTCATGGTTTCACAAATATGAAGGAATAAGCCAGTATTTAGTGATATGGAATCCCTGTAAGCAAGAGTTCTCTTTCTCTCTTTTTTTTTTTTTCTCTCTCTCTTTTTTTTTTTTTTTTAATTTATTTGCAGAAAAATTACACCTTATTATAGAAAGATACTGAAGTTCAGAGGAGAGCTGTGCACTCAGCTCTGACAAAGCTCAATAATCAGAGCTTACTAGACTTCCAGCAAGGGGCAACACCTGCACAGAAATGGTTGTTCCCTTCAGCAGGCATTTCCTGAACAAGACCTGCAGGCCCTAGAGGGTGATGGCCGTCTCCAGTGGTGGCAGTGCAGAGAGAGGCTGACTTCCAAAGGCCCTGCTCATAAAGAGTATTAGCACCATGCTGCAGGGTCACCTGGGACCCCATTTTCCTTGGGCCATTAGAAGCAAAGAACAACTCAGAAGAATAATAGTAGTTGGATTTGAAGGAAAGTCCTTGACCTATGCTCGCTGATGTTTGCTCATTCTCCTTTTGTGATGATAAAGCAAGAGCACTTCCAGCAGGGCCTCGCTGACTGCTGGGAACAAGGTTTGCAGGCCTGGACCCATCGTCATTACCACTGACAAATTTTTGAAAACACAGACTCATTGCCATGAGTCTATCTTGTAACTGGGAATTTTATTTGCATGCAATCCTGTCTTTCAGTACAATCACTTTTCCCATGTCTGATTATTCCCATGAGAGAGCACTCATTAGAAATAGGGAACAAAACAACCCAAGTGGAGGCACGAACAATAGGAGGTGCTGACTGATGCTTCACTTTTCATTCTGTCCTGAAATCGTGTACACAAATGTGAGGTTTTTGTAATGTGGTTATGCCAAAGCCATCTGGGGCCTGGCCACCAAGGCTTGGCCTTGCAACAGACAAAGAGATGTTTTCTGATTTCTCTCTGATGTCCCACAGACAGAGGAACACTTGGGCTGAATCAGGGCACCCCTTATAGAAAGAAATAACTGAGATGAGCTGAATCCTTTGCCTTATGCATTTCCAATCATGCTGATAGGAGCCAAGGGTCACTTTCCCCATACAAACCAAACTTTATGCAAGGTGTTATGAATTAAGAAATTTCATTTGCCTAGAGCTGCCTATACAAAGTTTCTGCAAAGACAGGGGACTTACATAAAAGTGACATAAATGGCATAAGCACATACAGTGAAATCCAGCGCTCACCTCTAGCTTAATTCTTCAGTGACTTACACCTTTGGAAGTTCTCTAAATCATCAGCCTGGGTATTGTGCAGATGGTCCATAGGGAAATCTTTCTTCAGGCCATAAGATGACCTTAGGAGTGGGAAATAAATGTGAAAAAGTTATTTAATTAGTATTGATTGGAGCTAGATGTATTAGGAAGTCTTGCATTGAAGAGAGAAACTAAGCTTTTTGTAATGAAAAAGCAATTGGGGACTCCTCTTCATCACCAGCTTATGTAGCAAAGGGACAGAAAGTTTGTGTAAGTTGACAGCACCAGTGGGGAAGAGGCAGTTTCCTAAACAAAACTAAAAAAAAATAAAAATATACAGTTTCTGAAGCTAGGTCTGCAGGACAGCTTTAATCACTGTTCCCTCTAGAAAACTAGATTTTAAGGATGCAACAAGACAGAGTCAGGAACGATGCTAGAGTGAAAGAGGACTTGCAACAAGTTATTTTCTGACCCTAAGGGTCCCAAGAAACTCTCAACAAGGAACTGCATTTGAAAATGGAATTAGGGCAACAGGAATACACCAAATGAGCAGAGCAGGGTGAACAGTTGAAAGTCCTTTACCTGGTATTTAGTGGCAATTCAATACCAAGCAATTTATTCTCAAGCTGCTATTCACCCTGAAGAACAAATGTTTCTCAGCTGGTTAAAACAGCTGACACAATTTCAGGTGAGTTTGTATACACTTAATAACCAATAAAGGAGGAGCAAAGGAGAGCTACAATCAGCCTAATTCAAAGAGAAATGGTTAAGTGTAAAGTGTCTAAGGGATCTTCTCCAAGGACATGGAATTGCTCTAAAAACACGTATTTATGACAAGAGAGGTAGGTATAGGCCAAGAGGACAGGTTGATAAGGAGAGTCCAGAAAACAGGATAGTAGGGTAAATATGGGGAAATTTTCTACTGGCAATATGGTGGGACGGCAGGAAAAAACTTTGTGCCTAGGTTGAGCCTATCTAATTTACATAGCTGGCAGATATACCTGAACTGAGAGGAATGATTTTCTGGAGGCATCTGGTATTTTCCACTGACCTGGTAAAGGAGCCTAGGAGAATATATCCCTTTATTGCCATGAAGTAGCATTTGAGGAATGCAGTTGTATTAAGCAGGTGGAAATCTATTTGGGCCCATTGTATTCAGTATCTAATTTTCTTATGCAAATTCTGAATTTCCCACGGGGGGTGAGGGGTGGGGGGAAAGCAGGGCAGCTATTTTTTTTAATTGTTTTCTCATAGAAAAATTATAATCTTCCAATATGTTCCAAGCAAGTGGTAAGAGCTACATGCACTGTATAACTACTATGCAATAAACTGAAGGTACAGTGAAGCAAATAGCATAAACAAAACTCTTGGCAAGAGAATCTCATCCTCTTAAGCTGTGTTTCTAGGACAGGCTTAATTACTGTGAATTACTTGTAGAACATTACATCCTGAAGAGGCAACAAAACAAAGAAAGAAAAAAGTGAGAAGAAGCCAGCCTAATGAGAATTTGATTCCAATGTAATTCTGAATAAGGCTAGCTCCTGCAGCCTGGCCCATAACCTTCACATAGCTGGGCTGACTCAAGGGGATGAAATGGCTGATTTTGATTACTGTAATGGGGGGTGGGAGGGGAGAATCTTTCTCTTTTCTAGCTTTGTCAGATTTTTGCAGAGCCTGCCACATCCAGGAGATGTTATTTTCAACTGTATGTTTCTAGGACAGTCTTTAATTGGGAAATCTTCCACTCTGTAGAAAAGGGGAAGGGTAAAACAACAGAAGGAATCAGTTCAAAACTAAGATAATTGGGAAGTGGTACTTTCAGTGTGGTTAGAAAAGATGGAGAAACAGCTTTGAAGCTGTTGCTCTCAGTTGCATTGGAGTACATGCCAGGATCTCAATGAAGATCAGTTCTCATAGTACTTGCTCCAAGTTTGAAGAAACCTTACGTATTCATACTATACACGGCAGAAATCAGAAAATCAGATCATTTAGGTAGCACCAGCATTCCTTGAGAGAACTAGTTTAAGCTGAACTTTTCAATGTGAGTTTGGTTGTTGAGAAAGTTGAAGTCAGGATGGGTCAGCTGAAGTGTCAAACAAGAGGACCAAGCAGGTCCAGGACCATGATTCTCTGCCTGAAATATCTAGGTGATGTCACTGGAAAGTTATGCTAGTGTTGAGCCAGGTGACTACTCAGTGAAACCTGATGAAGCGACCATGTGCTGAAGACAGAGAATGAAGTTGTGAGATGGGGCCACCTTGGTTTGAATTGATTTCTCATTAGTGTTTGATAACAGAGGGTACTGATAACAGCTACAAAAAAATATTGCAATGGCAAAGAAATGTTCTCATCATGTCTCTAATATTCTCAGATATTAAAACCTGTGATGCATGTCTACTATTATTTTAGATAAGCTGAAATGTGTTTCTCTTCACTGGTTGAGACAGTCAAGACAGATAACATACATTGATATTGACCTTTCGCTGCAGGTGGAAACAAGGGAAAGGACCATACTCTGTTTCTTGCGCTCTTATAAACAAGTGCACATAAACAGAAGTGATAACATTTGTTGACTTGTCTCCTAATCCAGAGACCTGTATACAACTGCAGAGACAGAGCTTGCTTAGCTTATCTCCTGTTTGTTTGCTAAACAGTTTACCTGGTAGAGATGGTACTCTCAAGCTCACAGGGACCCATGTTTGAGTTTTTCTGGATTGTGGTGACACAAAGAGCTCTGATGAGGCAGAGCAAAATGTGGTGCACTTCTTTGGTGACTATTAGTGAAAAGATTGGGGAAATGCCTGTAAACCTGAATGAAAAATAATTAATGGTGATACTTTCCTGAAGAGAGTTTTCTGGTTAGGCATCATCATTTGCCAACTTCCAGGTTTGCAATGGCACCAGCAATCTTTTCTAAAAGAAACAGAGGGCTAAAATCATGGTCAGTCTTCATGTCTGACCTATCCAATTTCCAAAATGTTTGTGTAAAAGAGTAAAAGGGAAATGTATGCAAGTCCCATGCCCTCCTTGTCTACTAAGATACCAGAAGTGTCCAGGGTACCAGATATATGCTGGCTGTAAATTATGGGACTAAAGAACTACATTTCACAGAAAATATATCATTCTGGAAATTTTGCAGAAAATGGATTTCTAATGAGATTCTCAGTGATTCCTACTTCCAACCCCCTGTATTTATTTATACAATAAAAGAATAGCTGAAAGCCAGAGATGTACATTTTGGCTGGTCTTACACAAGCCCCGCATTTGTTGTACTATTCAAGTCACATTGACCTAAGTGGAACTTCGGCTTGTGCCAGAAAGTGTTAGAGATGACTTACAAATGTGCTCAAAGAATTCATTGACCCAAGATGAAAAAAAAATCTTGGGGAGATCTAGATAGACCCAACCCCACTGTTTGTATCTTGTGGTGAAGTGCACTATTGCTAAGAATTTGTCACTTTTTTCTAGCTTCTGATACCAACTCTTCAACATTTGTCTGAGTGACAACATTTTTTCAGTGCTGATAATTTTTTTTCCCAGTTCATTCATTTGAATTATCTTTCAAGAGCCTAATTTTGCTGATATATTCATAATAGTTTGTCATTCAGTTCCAGATATGAAGTAATGACAGGAACAGCTAGTCAAATTGAAAGGCAGACTTGAGTCTGCAACAGCGGACATTAAATGCTTGCTGTGACACCTTGAAAATAAGCCAAAAAAAAAAAAAAGTTGTTAAATAGATCTATTTTAAAATCTATTCAGACCAATTTGTGTGGGAAATTTGGTTTTGAACTTTCATTCTATTCCTCCAGGGTTTCATTGGCTTGCATCAAAGATGTATTTCCTTATGTAAATTTGCATTCAAATGCAGATGAAAACTGATGTGAAAAGCTGAGTGAACTGAAATGCTGCTGTGTTGCATCTCCAGCACAAGATGCTATTATGGGAAAGAGAACTGGTGAGAGAAGGAGTGCTATCATAAAAGAAAGATTTCAGTACCACAGTCCTTAATTCTGAACAAAGTAATGCTTACATAAGACTTAAAAATATTTTCCATTGTGAATCAGGTGTCCTGGCCAAGTCTGGAAAGATCTGAATTCTTTTTCTCTTTATATTTTAAAATGAAAAAATGTATTGTTATCGTGACTGAACATAAAAATAGATGTGTTTTATTTAGTTTGTCAGCACCCAATTCTTTTATAACTATGCAATATTCTGTTTTTTTTTTTTCTGACTTGTTAACTAAGTTTCCAGTGCAAATGAGTTACAACTCAAGAACTTGATATTCAAGGTTGCTAAAATTTTGCAATTTCATGGTATATGAATGCACCATCTGTTCTTTCTAATAAGTAGCTATTTCAAAATATTATTTCATATGTTTTTTTACCATTCTTTGATGAGGAGCCTAGGAAACAGTTTAGTAAACTCTGACACACTAGACAGAAGTAACTTCAAAAATATTTTGATTCTTTCTTTCCAAATAAAGGAGTATTCAGTCACATCTTGTTATTCATAAGGTGTGTTATTTAGTACATACTTACATATTACCAAACTATGGAACTTATTTCCAATAGTTTAACAGAACTGGTTCATGATTTTCAAATTTAAATTCTTTCAGAACTAAAAATGATGTCTCTGTCTCAAAGTTTAGTTGTCAAAGCTTTTTTTTTTTTTTCTTTTTTTTTTTTGGAAGTGGAGGAAACAGGCCTTTTTCATACAGGAACTTCCTCTCTGTCATTTCTTTTCTCTGCATTCTTTTGCTTCTACTTTCCTCCACTTTCAGTAATGAAATTATTAAATATGGGGAGAGGGAAGCAAAAGAGAAATAATTGTTTAACACAGAAAAGGGAGAACAGTTTTCATCCTGGCTTGCTGTTAAAAATAGACGAGCCTGTTACAATGATCCTCTTTCTGTTGTTGCAATTACTAATGTAGCAACAGAAAGCTTTTTGAGAATAGATAGGAAAAAGCCACTTAATTGTTACTGTGATTCAAGGGCTCTACTCCTATTTTAGGTGGTCTTGATAATTTTGCTTAAGTAGACTGTGAAGTTTGATTTGGAATAGCTATACAAAATTAAGCTTTCCACCCAACAGAAAAAATCTCAGGTTTGTGAGAACTGAGAAATATTAGGGGTTCAGTCTTGCTTCCCACATTTCTCAGCTGGCTGCATCTCTCATAACCTTTGGGAGGATATTGTCTCTGCTCTGCTGAAGTCTTTGTCCTGTGCCCTGCACATCTGATTTGGACTGATGCAGTGAACACATGAAAGCTGTATGCCATTCTGCAAATGCTCTTGCCCGCAGGCCCACAGGAATGCCCAGATCTGACAGGACCCGCAAGCAGTCTGCCACACCAACAGTGGGATCTGCTGAGGTGGCCTTTCAGGGACATCAGAGGACTGAGATCTGTGTGGAGAAATAAATCAAAAGAGGTCAGAGAACTGGGGAACTGAAGCAGGGATGCAATGTACCCATCTGCTCATTGAGTTGCATTACTACTGGGACCTGCAAATGAAACACTTAAGAAAATTGGGACATGGAGCATTTATCACTCTTTCTCCAGCTTGTCTGGAATATGTCATTTCCTACTTAGCCTCCCATTTCACAGCTGTGACTTTTTTATCATGCTTTTTTCAAAAGGAAAAAGACTTAACCACCATCCAGCCCCAAGTGGCCCCCTCTAGCTGGTCTCTCTCTCTTCCAGCTGTCCATCTCTTGGTTTTAATGAACTGAAGCCATAACAAAGTCTGAACAACACAAGGGTAATTCAGTACTGAATTTCTTTCAGCAGTTCTAATTCTTTTGGCCTTTACAGAGGCATTGAACCAGAAACACACCTCAAATGGGCAGAGGGTAAAACAACACAAACAAACAAGCTGGGGAAACAATCTGCAAGGTTAAGAAAAGATAACCTAAGCATGTTCTTGGGAAAGTATAGTGTTTTCCTCCATCTCAATGCACTCATGGCCAGACAGGTCAGGACTGGTGGTACTGGGTAGCTCACCTATAAAAACAAAGATTCCCCTATCATTGAGTGCTATGCTGTTACCACACAATGCCTTTTCCTTTTTTGAAGTTCTTTCCACAACAAGTAAAAATCAGCCTGGCTAATTGACATGTGCATGTCTTTTGTCTTGATTTGTATTTTGTGTGCCAACATACCCATAAGAAAGCAGGACCTCCAAGAGGGTGTAAGAGCATGCAAGACAGGGAGAGAGGAGATGAGCATGTGAAAATGTGTAACAGACAACTCAGCGTGAGTATGTGTGAGACAAAGAGGAAGAAGTTTTTTCTCATCATCAATGTTACGTTATGTTAGAAGATATCTTATTTTTTTAAAGAACAGACAGAATGACACATGATGAAGAAATGAGGGTAACAGGGCATTTCTTTTGTATAACTGATTTCACTGATCTTTTTTAGTCATACTGCTTGTGCATGAGTTAGTTTGGAAATGATGAAGAGAAATAACAGATACGATGACAACTCAGAAGCTTCTGGAAGGCTATATACAGGGTGGTCAACTTCCCTACCTTCTGGAAGTTAGACATGGCAAGCCTGACAAGTGTGTGCATCTTATCTGAGGAAAAGATGCCACCATACACAGAACAAGCTGAGACTGCTGCAAATCACTGCCCCGTGTGTGTGTGCGGCAGCTCTTGGCTCCCAGCAAAGCCAAACACAACAGGGAAGCTAAAAACTGCCATCTCTTACAGATACCAGTCATAAAATGCAGTGACTTTTAGTTGATTGCTGGCCCAGCACTGTGTTGTTTAAATCAGGCCATCTTTTGGCAGTCCTATGGCAAGCTGATGGTTTCTAGGGTAGGGTCTGGACTCAGATTTCTAAAGGTTAATATATGTCACAAATTTATGTATGTTACAAATTTAAGTTGATTTCACTGCTGTCCAAAAGAACAAGCAATGCAATGAACAGCTTTAACATAGACCCACAACACACGCGGCTTATGGCTATGGGGTGGTATCTGTGACTTTCCTGATCTAATAGGAAGTTGGGCTGAGAAACCACATTGGATGCTGAGCCTTGATTTGCTGCTGTTACTGCAGGGTATTATCTTAATAATTACCTAATAAATAATTACCTCTGTAATCTGCAGGAAATAAAGTGTGAGATGTTCTTGCCTGGGATCATCAACCCAGTCTACTTAGTCTGACGGAGAACTATTGGGTTAACAGTTTAATTCATTCTCAGTTCAGCCTGGATCTGACATAGCACCCTGTAAGGAAATTATTTCTAATACCACTGTTTTGTTTCCATTGCACTCCTTACTGCCAAAAGAGGACTCTTCTGGATGTACAGGCGCAAATTATTGTATGTACATCAGCAGTTTTTTTTGAAAACACCACAACTCTTCACTGGCAATAAAAATCTATGAACTCTCCCACGGGCTTTTTAGGTGAGTCACAAAACCTAGGGAGCTTGAGAGCCAGTCTACATGCAAAACTGGAGGAACAAAATCTTTTTATAACAGTGCAAGTCTACAGCTGAAAAAGGACTCTAGGTTTAGATGCAAGAGGGCTCATTTACACTACATAAAGCATGTCTAAAAGGCACACGCTGACCAAGAGAAAACAAGCAACGCTGTACAATAGGATAGAAGCTCTTATTCCAAAATGAAATATAGGGTTTTGATGCACTTGACATTAGTATAAAAAAGTCAAACAATGTGGATAATCACTTTCTGTGATTCTGTGATGCAAAACAGCATCTACGGACATAAAAAGCAAACTAAACAGTCAGTTAAAATGTGTTTTTTTCTTGCAGTGAATGTTTGTTGGTTTTTTTGTTGTTGTTGATAAAGGTGCATATGCTGGAACTGTGACCCCTGCAACTTTCCAGTTTTACATGTAGTGTGCTGACTTAGGCCTGCCCAAGCAGAATGAAAAATACAGTTTCTCATATCCAGCCCCAGTTTTCTGCATGGTTGGCTAAGGCAGATGACACCACAAAACTGGTAAGGGCCATAGCAGGGGGAAACTCAGACCCGTTTCTCTTTACTGTTTCTCCAGGGTGCATTTGATGTGTATGTCCCAAGCGAGTACAGACTGAAACACGAGGCCTGGTTGAAGGCCCAGCTCTTTCCTTGCCTCTTGCTGTCTGAAGCAAGGCTGATGAAATTACTCAGCTGTGCCAATCAGTTGAGCCAAGAGCCTGCTTACCATAAGGACAGCCAAACACACATATGAGATCTGTCTGGAAGACAACTCCTAACAGCTTCCTCCAGTCAGAAGGCTCAAACCTGAAAGTCTTCTTGCTAGGGGAAGTGAGGAGGAGTACTTTTTGATTTTATTTCCCCTCCTATACAACAGTGACCTGATTCTCCATAATAAAATAATTATACTTTGTTGAAATGCTGCCCTGCAGTGCAAGGCAACACAGTCAGGAAGATACACAGAGCACATACCTAAACACAAGGTCATGCAGAAATACATTTTGTATTTATACATACTTGCATGTGTATATATATATGCATTTGTATGCAAAAACTATATTGGACCTGACATCAGTTCACTGAAGGAAAAAGTTCTGTGTCTCAGAATGTTTCTTGCAGTTCTTCAGATTACGCCTCGATCAGAACTCAGAGAGTTTCCCAGCTGTAGCACAAACTTACTGGTGGCCAGAGGGCTTATAAAATATTTAAGGCAGAGTTGTTGAAGTACAGAAATACATCTAGGATCTGTATTATTTACTTTGTTTTTGAAAAGAAAATTAATGCTTGTTCATCAGAAATGTATTTTGCTCTTTCTGTCAGTGAGCCCAAAAGCAACAATAAGATTATTTAAAATTTTCCTTGTTTGGGCATCATCTCTTTGCCCAAGGATTCAACCATGTCTCCCTGTCTTGTACATAGTAAGAGAGGGGATTCACATGGAAGCACTTAAATTAACTTCATATTTGTTTAGCTTCTGCAACCAGACAATATCACAAGCCATATTAATTAGGAACACTGATATGAATATGGTCATTATCCCTCTTGAAGGCACTATCCTGGAACAAGACATGAAGTAACAAAAAAAAGGGGGGCCTATTCTTAGTTATTCAGTTACTTTTGCTCTGTAGAAAACAGTATAATTTGAACATCAGCTAAGCACACACCTAACCCACGCTATAAGAAGTCATTTGTGCCCTGCAACACAGACACGGTAAGAATGTATATGCCTTCTGTTCGAGGCTGGGTGGGAAAATAAGGGCATGAAAAAAAAGACAGAGGAGAAACAGAAAGAAGATGGAACAAGGTGCTGAATAGAAGAACAGAGTTTTGCATAGTTTACACCCTTCCAGGGCCTCCTGACTGCTTTCTTAACTTGCTACTTTTTTTTCTGTGAATTGTTGCTATTTCAGCATGAAAGCTCAGCCTGGGCCCTATTAACGTCATTGAAAAATCTTGGCTCTGCTTTAACTTCAAATTCTTCATCAGAGGAATTCTGTTCATCTGCAGAAATGACAAAATGTCATCCCCAATCAAGGATACATGTTTCAACAAATGTTAGCAGGAGCATTATCCAATGTAAGAGAGCCTTGAACACCTTTAATACTTTCTTGTCATTCACTCTGTTGTGCTGTTTCTAAGAAAGCTGTTAGCTTTCAACATTGAGCTCAAGTAGTTTGTTGCATGCAGCTGAAACAACTGCTGCATGTGGTCTTCTCAAAGAAAACAGCAAATACATTGCTGGTTTTGCTGCTTTGCCAGAAATTGAGACTTTTCACTACCTAACAGTCAATTCCAATAAACAGCATGATATTTTCCTTTCTCTCAATATCTAAGACATCAGGAACCTCTTCAAAGCTTTCCAGTACTCTTTCATCCCCAGACTACCCTCAGTCTTATTCTGAATCATACCAGCTAGCAAACCCCTCTGTTAATCTGTTTCCAGGTAGTTTGACCCTTCCTCCAGTAATTCCCTTCTCCCCCATAGTACCTCAAGAGTTACAACAAAGAAATTTCTTCTATTTCCCTTGGAGATGCCTCCCTTCCAGGAAGTTCCCCCAGAAATGCTTTCTTAGCTGGTAAAACAAAACAAAACAAAAAACAAACAAACAAACAAAAACACAACCTAGCGGTACACAAAGAGAGAAGCAGAGGTGTTATTCTTCTGTTTCTGACTTTCAGTGCAAGATGTAGTTGTGGTCAAGTGACTCAGGCATAATTTTGCAAATCTTCTTTAGCTAACTTCTGCCTTACAGTAATAATAATAATAATAAAAAATAAAATAAAAGAAAAGAAAAGAAAAAAAAAGAAAGAAATGCATTTGTAGAGCACACAACAGCCTTCCAGACAATTTAGTGATCTGGGAGATATTTGTGACTCATGTATGACCTCAGCAAAATGCCTTGGGGAAAGTTACCCAAAGCTATTATGCCAGTGCTTGTATAGGTAAAGAGCCATCTCTTCTCTCCGTGTGAGGTCTGAAATGTGTTGACTCAAAGGCTGTGATGCAACAGCCTTGAGGAGGAGCAGAAAGCATCCTGCCTGTCTGTGCCTCCCTGTTCTCAAAGGGATCACATTCCACTTGGAGATCTGAATCCAGAAAGGCACATAGATACCCTCAGAGCAATGGGTGGGGGGTGGGGGAGAAGCATAGTAGGTAGAACAGCTAGAAGTTTTGTCTTAGCCTTTTGGCATACACCCATCATAATAACTCTTTTTGTTTGTTTGTTTGTTTTCCATCTGTGCTGGTTCCAAACTAACACAGATTAGATATACATGTATATATGTCTGATTATCTGTCATTGCAATTCATGGCTTATTCTGAATGGGACTTGGTAGCTTATCTGCTGCAGTAAGGTCTGCTTAACAGAGTGCTGTAAAGCAATTTTTTTCCAGTTCATCTTTTTAGGAGAAACTTGGTATATATTGATAAAACATGATTGCATGAATTGGCATTTAGCTTAGACACTAACACAGCCAGAGGGCTTCCCTGTAAACCACTGCAGTTTTGTTGGCTCTATGCACAGATCATTCTCAAGGCAAGTAATGAAATACCAGTAATAACAAGAAGCAGGTAATTAATTCTGAGTTGTATTTTATCTGAAAAATTGCTGTAAAAGAAGAACATAAACTATCTCCTATAGTTAGTCCAATCAGTCATGTGGTCAGCAGCAAATGTTCACGTAAAGAGATTAAAACAGGCCAGCATACAGATATCTGCCTTGCAGAATACTTCTACCCTCAATTCAGTTTATGGCTAAAGAGCAGGATGTATCCTCCAAGGATTTGGCTGTAGTGAACTACTTTATACTTTTGGCTGTCACAAATTCTGGCATGGCAAGGAGTGCTAGAACTTGGTTATGCTTCTGTGGAGAAAACAAACAAACAAACAAAACAAACACAACACTTTCTGTCTGTCATAAAACTTCTGTTGGGTAAATTGGTGTAATATCTGGTAGTGTGTCAGGTACAAGCTCACCAAGAAGCCTCATTATGGTAATTTAAACATAGTTGACCATTTCCTGTGTTCTACCCACACATCTCCAGTTTAATTGCCAATGTTTTTTTGCAATCCACTGAGTGTATGGTGGGTGCTATAAGTCAATTCATTAGTGTGTACACATGCAGCTGTGTGCACTACAGTGACTCACAGGTGGAAGAACAATCAAACCCAATCATATGGCAAATGGGGTGTAAAACGGAGATGAACAACAGCTGTTCATTTGTACAAAGCCTTTACCTACATTAACCCCCCTATGCCAAGCTGCTGTGTCACTGTGCTTGGAGCCTGGTTGCAATGGATGACTCTTGTTTCCTGGGAATGGGAGGCAACAGGGATGAGTTTACACCTGGGAGATTCTGGAAAAGAGATTGAAGGCGAACTTGCTGAGCTGAGTGCTCTGCTCTGAAAAACTATTGTTTCTTGTCCTTAGATAATGCTGCCCCCAAATGCTCTGGTAGATAACTTATCAACTATGATAGATACACCCAGCTAATCATAGCTAGTACAAAGTTTTGTACCAATCACAGTTGGTACAAAGTACAAATATGATATGCTGCTGAGCCTTCTCCATTAATTATTATTCACTAACAACTTGGGAGATGTAGGGTAGGGAGTTGAATGAGAGCCTAGTACAGTGGAAAATACCCACTGATGAGCCCTGTCCTGAC